GTATTAGGTGTAATCCAAGTCTTTGACCTGACCTTTCAGCCTCAAATCCAATCACTGTCAAAAGCTTGTAGACCTCACCTCCGTAACATCTCTAAAATTCAGCATGGAAACCATCAAGCTACTCATTATCTCTCTTCTTGACTATTGCAACTCCCTTCACTTAGGCCTACATCTGCACAGCCTAACCCCCTCCCCTACCCCAGTCTACCATAAATTTCTGCTGCCAGACTCTTCTACTGTACCTTACAAACCGCTCAGTGTCTGCCACCCCTCTCTGCCAATCCCTCCACTGGCTTCTGTTTTCCTGAAAATGTAATTAAAAATACTAACAACAACATACAAAGTCATTTACAATTCTGCCCCAAGCTACATCACCAATCTTGTCTCTAAATATCACCCAAGCCATCCTCTCTGCTCCTCCCAAGACCTCCTGCTCTCTAGCTCTCTTGTCACCTGCTTCCATACTCAGCTCCAGGACTCCTCCAGAACCTCTCCCATCCTCTGCTGATTCCCCACAGTCAATACTTTTTGTAGCACTTGCCCTAATTAGATTGTAAGGTCTTATGAGCAGGACCCTCTGATCCCTCTTGCATTTTATTGTATTGTACCTGTACTTCTCCCCTTATATTGTAAAGCACTGTGAAAATTGTTACCACTATAAAAACCTTGTATAATAATATAATAATAATTTATAGATATTGATAATTATTATTTCTAACTCAATGTGGGACATATGCCTCCTTTATCAGAATGACACACCAAGTATATACAGTACTTTGGTAGTTAGTTTAAAACCTCCACTGCTGCCAAAGACTCACAATATGGAAAATGTAAGTTGGCAGGTATGTTCTACTGAATATTACCTTCATCTCTATGCTAAATTTCTACACTTACTCTTGCCCACCCCAACATCGACACAATTATTATTATTATTATATCAGGTGCTGCCAGTTCACAAATGAATTCAAGTACTTACATTCATTTTTATTTATGTGTTGTTTCCAATTTAATAACATCTACAATGGAGAGATCAATTGCATTGGTGCTGGCTGATTTATTAGCCTAGTTGTAGATCATTCATTGAACAGCTATTTATTATTGTGCAGTTGAAACTTCAATCTCCACAAACATTACTTTCCACGCCCCCTTCTTACTTAATACACATAGTGTTTATGAGATACTTTACTTTTAAAGGGAAAATATAACACACTTCTGTGAACAGAATTAAGCATTTATGTAACATGTATCTGAAAAGAATCTTAAACCCTTGGTGCCGACAGTACAAAAATATGCTGCCCCAGTGGACTGGGCTTTTTTGCGTGGGGCTGCATATCTTCGTGCTTGTCTTTGTGCTTGGACCGTGCTGCTTGGCATGCTCCCAGCACAGAGATTGGGGTCTGAGAGCCCTGGGTCCCATAGTAATTATGGGACCCGGAACATCGGATTCTGGGTCACCTGATCTCTGTAATAGCCTCTGACTGGGTATCATAGCGATCAGCCACTGTGAAGCCCGCTCCTGTGTCTTCTCTCTCTGAATGGGGAATAGAGATATATTGTATCTCTACCCTTGTAGAGATAAAAAAAAACAAGTGTTTGTAAAAAAAAAAAAATAAAAATAAAATTAAAAAACTAAAAATACCTAGATAAAGATTTGATCTAGGTCAGTGCCAGGGTTAGTGTTTGGGTCAAGGTCAGAGTCAAAGGTCAATGTCAGGGTAAAAGGTCAGGGCCAGTATTTTTTTTGGTTAGGATTTTGGTTTTACATTTTTAAAATAGTATCAGTGTCAGTTAGTGTTGGTGTATTTTAGGTAAGATTAAAAAAAAAAAAAAAAGCAAAATGCGCACTATTGTTTCTGGACTGTACTACGGGTACTAATAACAACTCACATACACATACGTGGTGTTGCTGCAATTGTCAGCAACAGGAAAATTTATTTTGGGTTGTTCTTTGGTGGTAGGTTATGGTAGTAGAAAGAAATATACAGCTAAATTTAAAAAAAAAAATAAATATTTTTACTATTTTGGGCCAGTTTTCCTTTGATAATAATTTTTAAACAATCAGGAGATATTCACTACCATTTATCACCAAATGAAAGCCCAATTTGTCCTGACAAAAACATGGTATTTTCCACCTGAATGCACAAAGTAGTTGTGATGATATGTGCAGTTCCACTAACTCATGTCAAAGTTGCAAAACTGTACTTTGGCATTAAGATTTGTTCTCCCCTTAAGCGTGAAGGGGTTAATATGGCATTCAAATTTGATATGTTCACTGTTCTGATAGCATTTCATATACAGAACTTTAGATTCTCCCTCTCTTGCTTGTCTGTATATCAGGTACATGCTTAACCGCTTCATCTCCAAAGCAATTGTGTAATTTTTCACACACATGTTAAATTCTGTATTTATGGCTACAAGAGTACTTAAACCCCCCAGAATATTATATATTTTCTGAAAGCAGAGGCCCTGTAGAATAAAAAGGTGGTAGTTTACATTTTTTACTGATGCAAAATATTTGTAGAACTATTTATCAAATCTATATTTTCATGAAAAAAAATACACTGAAAGGAGTACACCACATACCAGACATGTAAAAGCTCCACAGTCAACCAGGATCACTTTTACATTAAAGTCCAGAGCCCACTGCAACTGTGAGCTTGTTTTAATCTATTTACATACTGTACATGTCTACAGAGACAAACTAATTATTGTGTTAATAGATTTATTAGTGTACTTGCAACAACACAGTTGAGTGGTATGTGTCTATGTGTGCTTGTGTGGGAGCAGACCACCAAAAACGTATCCTGAAAATTTTTCAACTGTACTATATTAGTACAGAAATGTATTGTTTTCAGCAACTGTAACCTGTGAAGCACAATAAATTGCAAATACAGTGCACTACAGTTAGTAAGCAGGAAGCACAACCTTCATACGTAATGAGCAAATGTACGTATAAAATCACCAAAGGACCCCATGGGGCACCAGAGTGGCTAAATGGTTAGTACCTCTGCCTGGCAGCACTAGGGTTGTACCTGAAGTTTGCATGTTTGCCCTCTGCCTTCATGGGTTTCCTCCCACACTCCAAATACATGCTGGAAGATTAATCTAAGTTGGCCCAAGTATGTATGAATATGAGTTAGGGGCCATAGATTGTAAGCTACTTGAGGACAGGGACTGATGTGAATGTATAATACATATGTAAAGCTCTACAAAAAATTATAATATTTAAAGCAACAGTTTAGCTGTATCATGGCCATACTGCTACAGCAAAAAAAAAAAAAAACACACCGAATAGTTTCAGAACACAGCCCTGTGCTTTACAAATGTGCATTGGACTACATGTGCTTCAGAACTTTCAGTGCAATTATGTTGGGCAACTTGGATGCTACTTTGAAGCATTTTACATATTCAATGGGTCAAAAAGTGCGCTGGAATCACACCAAAGTAGTACAGGAACCTTTTCCAAAATCGCTCTGTGCTGAGTTGATTGAATTGATGTGAATAAGCACTAATAAGAACAATGTGATTTCCTTTGTCATACTATTATGTATGACTCAAGTTTCATCTGAAATCTCACTCATACCTCCAAATCCTTCTTTCTCATTGAGGCCTCATGCACACAGGACATTTTTGCAGCTGCTCCTAGGGGAGTCAGGCATTTTTTTTTGCTGTCTCTAAACTCCCCTGCATGGTAGTCTATGTGTTCATGCACACATAGACTTTTAGCAGAGTTTAGTGGCATGAAAAAACCCACTGCCTGTGCATCCATGAACAGCAGAGTTTGGGCAGAAAAAAACAATTGACATTTCTAAACGTGTCTAAAATCTCACTAAAGCTAGGTGAGCATTATTTAATTTCAGTGGCCAGAATAAATGATTTATTCTGGACAATTAAATGAATTACCACTCAAGTGCTTGACGCCTGTAGACACTTTTACAATCATCAGGCATTTTTTTCTGCAAAAACGCTGCTGGCTTCTAGGAGAGTTGAAAAATTCCTGTGTGCATGAGACCTTAAAGAAAACCAGTATTGATAGGTATGCAATGCATAATTCATATTATATATATAAACATGTTAATATTTGAAAATATTACACAGCAATAAAAGGAAAACTTTGGTATTTATTTATAAAGGTGGCCTTCTTAGTTCCATAACCATGTCTTGGTTATTCTCTCTACTTGCTCTTTTGCTCTTTGCTAGATAATATTTTCTTGAACACTACAGGTTCTCTGTAAAGAACTAGAAAATGGAAATGTTACTGCTATTAAGACTAGAGTCAAATGAATTAATTCACACAATTCTGACGCATCCAATGTTTCTTCTTTTTTCCTTTTGTTTATTATTTTTTAATTTGCCTGAACAAGACATCACATAGGTTAACAATCCAAACATTCAGTAAAAAAAATGATTACCTTGTATGTAATTGTAACCTATATAATATTATGACCTGCATACTATGGTTTATACAGTATAATTCACAACTGGGTTCTTTCAAAACGTGAATAAATATTGGACAGTTTGTTAACGTTTTACTTATATGTGACTATACGAGTAACATTGAATATATGTAATTTTAGACAGGAGGAAAGCTCCAAAAGGCTGTCTGCTATGCCCGTCAGTGAAATCAAACCTTTACAGAAGCATTTCTTTCATCAGCACAAGCAAAGTTTTTACAAGTGGTTGTAAACATAAGATAAAAACCTGGGGCATATTTGCAGAGCAGTGAATGACTGATTTGGTGATCATTTGCCGTTTTTTCATCGCATGGAAAACTTGCCATATTTATTTTCTCTGTGCATTTAACTGCATATCTACCTGATCAAACCAAAAGTTCAGGTCTCTGTAACATCATCCTTATTTGTTACATTGTCAATGTTACATACACTGGAACTGATCAGGAAACATGCATGAATTTGAATATATCGATATTCCTTCCTGCACATGGTAGCACAACATATTTTAATCACAGAAAATTGAATATATAAATATGAAGTACTTACTTTGAAAAAATTCATAGTGGCTCCATCAAGAACGGTTCCATATTCTATCTTGGTTTGTCTTGCCAAATCATCAGCAGAATCAATGGCCGTCTCCATTCTTTCCACTGTGAGGAAGGCAGCGAGGTTGGCGGTGTAGGATGATATGATTATAAGGGTGAAAAACCACCAAATACCACCAATAATCCTTGTTGACAAAGCTTTGGGCATAAGCTCTGATCCTAAAAGACAAAATGTTTTTTTAAAGTTAATCTCCAAGCAGATAAGGAATCTCCATTTAATCCAGTCATGTGTTGATTAAAATGTATAAATATATTTTAAAATAGAAGTAGCATTTGTTAATGAATTTGTCTGAATATTAGCCTCCTGTAGCACCTTCTAAAGTAGTACTCTGACCAGCAGATGGGGAAGCAGTATTCTGCACTTAGCATGCCAACTGGGGAAGGGGGGGGGGAGCACAGGAATGAACTCATCATTGTGCTGCTGCTCCTACATTGTTCAATCACAGAAAGGCCAGAGATTTAGCTATGATGTCTGGGAAGCCTAGATCACAAGGTTTGTTGAACAAAATTACAAATATTTTAACAGGTAAACCAGTTCATAGACATACATTTAAACTGTATATTATCTATTAGCTTAGAGTTCAACTTTAACATATGGGATAGAGTGGCAAGATGGAAGCCTTTTCTTACAAAGAAAAACATCCAAGCCTAGATAAAGTTTGTAAAGACACATCTGAAGTCTTCCAAAAGCATGATGAAACCAAGGTTGAACTTTTTGGCCATTCCAAAAGATATGTTTGGTGCAAAAACAGGAATAAAGTGTTTTAAAAATCACTTTACAATCAAATATTTTAAATATTCCAGCAGAACTTTAATGAACTGTGTATGGAAGATCAAGAAAGTTACAGCTTAATACGAGTCACTAAAAAAGGAAATTATCGTATTTAAAGGGTTAATTTACTAAAACTGGAGAGTGCAAAATCTGGTGCACCTGTTCATGGTAGCCAATCAGATTCTTACTTCAGCTTGTTCAATTAAACTTTGACAAAAAAACTCAGAAGCTCATTTCTTTCTCTGCAGATCTGAGATTTTGTAGTTCCCAATTTAGCAAATCAACCTCAAACATTTGAAACCAGTAGCATACTACATAATAGAAATATAATAGCCAAAATGAATTGCATTACAATTGTTATTATAACAACAAATAATAAAAGTGTCATTATAAACCAACATTTATCAACCTTGTTCTAGTTAAGGCACCCTTTAAAATTATGGACAATCTCGAGACACCTCACTCTAAAATGTAAAAAAGTCAGCTAATAGTTTTGCATAGTTCAGCAGCTACCAAACATGTTGGGCATCCAACATTAGAGGTGATTTATTCTTTCAAAGCAAATACCCTTTTGCCCACTGGTACTGACTAGTATTCTAGCATTTCTTTTTCCTCTTTTTCTATAGCCTACACAATTAACTTGACCCCAGTACTGACATAGAAGGGTGGGGCAAACAAGGATGCTGTGCAGGTGCCTGATGTACTCCTTATCAACCAATGACGTCAGCATTTGTTAGGATGCTGGTGGCTGACCTGCATAGTGCCCAAGGTTGTAATGTTAAACTATGGAAACCTGTGACTATTTTTGATCCTCCTGCTGGCTTGTACACAGTTTTGGGGCAATTTGAGGCAATTTTTAGGCATTTTGCCAAGGCACCCCTGAAGGCCCTAGAAGGCACCCTGGTTGAAAAAGGCTGTTCTAGACTATTTTATTTTGCTGTAAATGTAAGATAAGAAACATGAATAGTAGTGTATGCTTCAGCTTGATCAAAAAACACAGCAGGCCATAGAAATGCTTTGTCACACGAGGTTGGGCACAATCATAGAGCTATACTTCAAATCAGGATTCACAACATACATATTTATTTAACAATTGGAACTGCCCCTTCTAAATACTGTATATGAAATTAGAATTCAAATAAATGAAAAAAATGAAAATTTTTTTTAAAAAAAAGAATTTTTCACTTTTTCTGTTATAAAATTTTGCAAACAGGTATATTTTCTCCTTCACTGATGTGCATTGATCAGGCTGCACTGATAGGCAGCACTGATGGGCACTGATAGGCAGCACTGATGAGGCAGCACTGATATGTGCCAATGATGGGAACTAATAGGCAGCACTGAAGGGCACTGACTGGCGGCGCTGATAGGCGGCACTGACTGGCAGCACTGACTGGCGGCACTGACTGATGGCACTGACTGGCAGTGTTGATAGGTGGCACCGACTGGCGGCACTGACAGGCACAGATTGGCACAGATGAGCAGCAATATGGGGCACTGATGGGCAGCCCTGTTGGGCACTGGTGGGCAGCACTGTTGACACTTATAGGCAGCATTGTTGGGCACTGATGGGCACTTTTGTGGCTGCACTGACAATCAGGGCACTGATAATTAGTGCATTGATTATCAGTGCAGATGTCTCCTTTGACACTTGCTGGTTATCAGCAGTACTTTCCTCACACTGTGACAGCGTGAGAAAAGTACTGCCGATAACCAGCAAGTTTATTTACAAGGTGATCAGCTGTGATTGGAAATAGCTGATCATGTGGTAAGAGGACATTGTGATTGGCCTTTTACCATGTCATGTGATCAGCTGTGTCCAAAGGACACAGCGATCACAGAGAGCGACGGGTGCGTGCTGCTGGGTACGCTTTCTGGGAGGAAGTCATATGACGCCCTCCCAGAACTGGATGACAGTGCTTTATCTGTCATTCAGCTATAGCGCTGTCTAAATGTGGTTAGATTTTGACAGCAGGTGCAGGGATCATATCCTCTGCGCCCTGTCATAGCAGGAGATTAGTGGGGCACAAGCAGGTGCTCTTTTGGTAACATGTTACACCCTAAAAAAAAAGTTATAGATTGACACCTTGGGGAGTGGGTACCCACAATTGACAGGTACCAGAACTTCTGCTGTGATTGCTTAGGTGATTGGAAGCGGAAGCTGTCCTTCCCCCTCCCTCCCCATAGTCTTCTGGGACGTGTGACAGGTTCCAGAAGATTACTGGTGCTATTCAGAAAGTGCAGCGCTACTCGCGCATGCACAGTGAGCACCCCAGCTGTGAAGCCGCAAGCTGTCACACTGGGTGCCCCCACTGAAGAATCCGGCACCAGGAACACAGGATGGCTGATGAAGCTGGCTGAGGGGGGGACACAGCGGGGTTGAGGGACAGGAAAGTGTTCATTTTTTAAAAGTGAGCAGCTACAGTTTTTGTAGCTGCTGACTTTTATTTTCACTGGAGCTCTACTTTAACCACCTGAGAATTATAAACATAAGGAATCTCCTGCATTCAACTTCTCTCCCTCTTACCAGTAAAATATTACTATGCAGATCAATGGTGTGACTTATGATCTGTATATGACATCACTTAAAGTAACCTTACAAGTATTTTTTTCTAATACAATTTATTCCTATTTAACCACTTATTAATCCTTTGTTAACCCTAATCAGCCCTAATTATGTCCTTCTTTTCCTTCTCCCCTTAGCTGTTATTTTTCTGCTGATTTTTTTCTTTTTTTTTCTGTTTCTATGTTTTTTATTCTCATTCAATTAGTTTGTTACTTTTTTTTTTTCCGTGTCACATAACAAAAAAATTAGCAAAAACAAAAAAAATGCATTTTAAAATTTGTCATGCTTTGTATCAGAAACATCATGTTTAATTTCATTTGAAAAGGTTACAAATTGTAGAATAAAATACATTCATTACCAGTTAAACTACTTAACATTGATCAAGACAGAAAAACAATGTTCTTTTTAATTTTTCATGTCTTTTTGTCTATTGATTCCATAGAAAATAAAATCATTGTTTTTAATAATATTGCCAGAGGAAAGTACCATATTTTCCCCCTCCCAAAAAACAATGTATGTGTCTTTTGATATCCTAAATAATGCCACCCATGGTGGAAAGGTGAAAATTGCTCTAGTCCATAAGGGATATACAGCTAAGGTGGTTAACAACTGTCACTCAGGTACTCAGTGTGGGGAAATGGGACAGGGAGAAAATTATAAGCTCTGTAAAAAACGTAAGTCACAAATCACAGCTTACACAGGACTAATTCTCCCTCTTTGTTCCCTATAGTAAAACAGAGCAGTAGGTGAGTATGCAGCTGGGGAGGTTGGCAGTTACAGTCATGGCCGAAATAAAGTGTTGGCACCCCTTGATTTTCTCCAGGAAAAATCATGTATTTCTCACGAAACGTATTGCATTAACACATGTTTTTATACACATGTTTATTCCCTTTGTGTGTATTGGGACAAAACAAAAAAAGGGAGGAAAGAAAGCAAATTCGACATAATGTCACACAAACCTCCAAAAATGGGCTGGACAAAAGTATTGGCACCCTTTCAAACTGCGGATAAATAAGAATGTTACAAGCATTTTGCTCCTGTAAACTCACCTGGGGCAAGTAACAGGTGTGGGCAATTTCACACCTGAAAGCAGATAAAAAGGAGAGACGTTCACTTAACCTTTGCATTGTTGTCTGTCTGTGCCACACTAAGCATGGACAACAGAAAGAGGAGACGAGAACTGTCTGAGGACCTGAGAACCAAAATTGTGGCAAAATATCAACAATCTCAAGGTTACAAGTCCATCTCCAGAGAACTAGATTTGCCTTTGTCCACAGTGCGCAACATTATCAAGAAGTTTTGCAACCCATGGCACTGTAGCAAATCTCCCTGGTCGTGGACGGATGAGGAAAATTGATGAAAGATTGCAACGCAGAATAGTCCGGATGGTGGATAAGCAGCCCCAAACATGTTCCAAAGACATTCAAGCTGTCCTGCAGGCTCAGGGAGCATCAGTGTCAGCGCGAACTATCCGTCGACATTTAAATGAAATGAAACGCTATGGCAGGAGACCCAGGAGGACCCCACTGCTGACACAGAGACATAAAAAAGCAAGACTACAGTTTGCCAAAATGTACTTGAGTAAGCCAAAAGCCTTCTGGGAAAACGTCTTGTGGACAGATGAGACCAAGATAGAGCTTTTCGGTAAAGCACATCATTCTACTGTTTACCGAAAACGGAAATGAGGCCTTCAAAGAACAAAACACAGTTACGGTAATATGGTGGAGGTTCAATGATGTTTTTTGTTTTGCTGCCTCTGGCACTGGGTCCTTGACTGTGTGCAAGGCATCATGAAATCTGAGGATTACCA